CTGCTTTACCTTGGTCTTAACCATCCAGTAGAAAAGTATGAAGTCGAAATATAAGAAATAAAGCCATGCTGTTAAGTTGAGCTGTGGGGGACTCCAGCTGTTTTGTTGATATCTATTTGTTTTATATTTTTTCTTTCCATCATCTTGTGGTTGTTTTATTGATATTTCTTGGTATTTTTAAGACCTATTTTCTTTCATGTTCACTTTCTGCAGTACTATCTTCAAGGCCTAAAATTCTATCTCCTGTTTTATTTAAGCAGTTTTGTCAGCTTTCAGTGTAATTCTTCATGTTCTGGATATCTGTTTAAACCTGCATCATGTATTCTAGTTCTTTCCTGTATTGTTTGTTCAATGTTTCCATCATTTTCCTATTACCTTCTATTTTTTAATCTATGTATTCCTTGTGCATATTGAGCAATTCTTTCATGATTGTTGTCATTTCATTTTTTACCTGAATGATTATTTCTGATATGATTTCCCCCATAGACTGAAGGAAGTGTTTCTTTATTTCAGTTGCTACCATCACAGAAATTTCAGGTGTGTGATTTCCAAATTCTTCCATGACATTGTCTCCTGAACTTGTTTTGGGTGAGCTAGAGGTCTAAGATTGCCTTTTGTTTCTACCTTTTGCCATTTTTGAAGCACCCAATATCTACATAACTCTGTAGCAATGGTAGGGTGGTAGGGTGTGGGGGGCAAGCAAGGTGCTCACACTTGCAGGGAGAGTTGGAGGACAGGGTAGATTCACCAAACCTCCTGCTGTGTGGGTTTCAATGTGGCTTCTACCTTACTGAGTGGAGGGGGTAAGCTAAAGTTTGAGAAAGATCCAATGATGATGAATGAAGGCCAAAGTTCTGCAAAGCTCTCCCAATGGTGGGTCTATACAGGGAAGGGATCCCCAAAGCTCCTGCCCATGCTTTGGCAGTTTTCTGGACACCTGGTTTCAGGTCCCTGTGGCAGTTTCCCAGGCCTCTCCATTAGTCTTCAGGGTGAGGATGAGTCGTCAGGTCTCAGTGGAATTCAGATGGAATTTTGTGGTGTGGGGCTAGGACTGCCAAGCCTGCCCAGCAGTCTTCAGCTCAAGGACATGTGGCCAGGGTCCAGAAAAACGTTGGCGAGATGACTGGGGTGCAGGACTAGGGCTGCTAATTTGCTCTGGCAGTCTTCAGATTGATGTCAGGTGTCTGGAGGTATGTGGAACTCTGGAGGGATGGCCGGGGTGGGGTTAAGGCCTTTTAAAATGTTTCTGAGACAACTTCAAGTCTCTATATGATCTGGATTAAAGTAAAGACAGATTATTCCAAGATTGTATAAAACCACTAAAATGTTTGCTTCATTTGCAACCTCCTATGTTCATAAAGCAGAGTTTTCTACAGTGACAGTAAGCACAATGAGATTATGGAGTAGTCTGGACACAAGAAATATACCTTGGGTGTTAGTTCTACCATCACCTGCAGATAGGCCTCTCTAGCTTGAACTCAAGTTCAGGGCTCCAAGTGATTCTGCATTATAGTGGGTTACATAATTATTTAATTACATCTTACAAAGTAATAATAATGGAAATGTATAATAAATGTAATGTGCTTCAACTACTGTATTCTGAAACAATCTCCCTAACCCCCAATACATCTAACACCTGGTCCATGAAAAAGTTGTTTTCCACCAAACCAATCTTCATGTCCAAAAAATTAGGGACAATTGGCATAAAGTACAATGGTTGTTTAAATTTATTTTTTATTTTTATCTATTTTATTTTTACAATGGAATAATATTTCTTCCTTAGAGTTCTGGATGTATACAGTCTATTTTGAAGTAGAAATAAAATAATTACTTATTTTTTAAGCTTTTCTTATCTTGCATTTTTGTAACCTCAGAGAATTTTCTAGCAGGTAGGATTGGGAAGCAAACAAAATAAAACATGACAACAATAAAACTCATTTCAGATGAGAGTAAGAGAAAGAGCCAGGGCATGAAAGGGCAGCACAGCCCATGTGCTGTGGTCCACTGTAGTAGAGTTCCCATCTGTGAGCAGCGTGGACGAGACCCCCCAGATCCAGAACCCTGGGCAGTCACTCGAATTCAGTCCCTTTGCTACCAGTCTGATGACATGAGAGGGTAAGAGGCTTCTTTGGGCATGGGGAACTGTGGGCCTGCAAAGTCTTCGGCACTGTGTCTGCTGGCCCAGTGGCACCTTCTGGCAGGATCTTTTTCCCAGCTTGTCAAGAGGTAGGGGAATCTGATATGTGACTCACTAAAGCCATGGCTTGCTATAATGAAGACTGGAGGATGCCTCACATCTGAAACATGTAAGTGAAACTCTTTTTTATTTTTTAAACCAAATTGGTAAGACAGTTTCAATAATTAACACATTGCAAACACTCTTCCTAATGGTTAATTGCTGTACAAGATGCGGACATGATATCCTATTTACCAACACTATTAGAACAAATCCCTCTATTCATTAAGAGAATGTAACTCTATATCTATCCTATCAACTTTGAATACACAGATACAAAATGGACATTCATCTGTATCCCCTTTTTTTGTTTAGTTGCATTATTTGAATATTATAGGTGTGTTAACTCAGCAAAATATTCTAAAAGAGTCCAGTAGTCCATAATAGTATTGGGTCTTCCGCTTGACTGGCAATGTCAGAAATTGTTGACCTGAGAACCCTACAGCTCAACATAACAGCATGGCTTTACTTCTTATACTTCGTTTTTATACTTTTCCACTGGATGGTTAAGACCAAGGTAAAGCAGGACCTATGCAACAAGAGTTGTAGCTTTTGAGTCTGATAAGGTCAGTGAAATCCCCTCAGGATTTATCCTGAGATCCTGTACCTCAGATTGTAGAACCTTTGTCAGTGTCAGCCATGCGAATGAGTCACGGCCATTGCTTGGCCAATGCGCTCTCTGTGAAGGCCTGAGAGAATGTTTTCTCTCCATATGATGCTCCTTAGGCATACTCTACATCATCAATCACTTTCTTCTTTGGCCCCATAATCTCCTTGATCAGAAAATTTGCGACACTACTGAGTTACATGACGTTACAGTACAAGTTCTCATATGTCCTGAGTCTTAATTGACCTTGGAAGGCTAGGGCCAAAATGTTGGCTTTCCTTGTGGCCCTCCTTTTTCTCTAATTTTGGTCTGCAGACTTAGGTTGTTAACCCTCCAGAAGACAAACTTATTGTTATTACCATACAACTTAGGCTGTTAAGCTTAACCTCACTATCTGTCTGAATATCAAACATTTTAGGCGTAACATGGAACAGGTATTTTTTATCAAGTATTGATATGTTGAACTTTAAGTCCCTACAGAACATGATGGAAGAACATTTAAAAATTAGAATATATTTTAAAAATAGACATAAAGAATTATATACTTCTTATGTTTACACATAAGTCCCAAAATCTCACCATATACAACCTTGAAGCAGGACAGTCCCACAACATTCCTTTTCCTGTCTCCTGCCTTCATTTACCACCCTCTTCTTTTTGAACAGTCATCTACCCGGGAGACAGCACAGCAGCAACTGGCATGTCATGACAAGCAGCCTGTATTCAGAAAACCAAAATGACACGCACAAAATATGGAGCGCTTTACGAATTTGCATGTCATCCTTGCGCAGAGGCCATACTAATCTTCTCTGTATCGTTCCAATTCTAGTATGTGCTGATGAAGCAAGCAATAAATTTAAAAAAAATCTTTATTTATTTGTTACATGGTCTCATTACATAGCTCAGAGTTGTAGTGGTCCTTCTGCCTCAGCCTCCTCAGGGCTGGGATTACAGATGTGCACCACCATGCCTAAATTTTGTGGCTGGCATAGCACATCGAGGTTCTGAGGCTGGCAGGGCATGCTATATCAGGGGTCAAACCTGGGTCCTTGTATTTGCCAGGCAGGCACTTAGACCACTAAGCTATCTCCCCAGCCTATGAAGTACAGTGTTTTGTGGTACCACAAGAACATGAATACTTAGCCCAGGAAAGTGTTATTTTTACTTTTGGATTTTGCATCTCAGAACATAAAATGACATCCTTATATAGAATGTAGACTTTGAGTTTGGAAACACTAAAGGTTTTTTGTTTACTGCCTTTATATCTTCAATAGCTCAATTCAGTGTGCTGTCCTTTAGAGGGCAGTGATACTGGGCGAGAAGATACTCCCCAATTGGGGAAAACCCTTGAAACTTTCATATAACCTATAGAGAGCAGAACTCTTCTTTCATTGTGGCAAGAACTCCAAATGACTTATTACCAAATAACTCCTTTTTCTTTTCTTTTTTCTTTTTAAGACAGGGTTTCACTCTCCAGTTCAGGTGGGCCTTGAACTCACTTTGTAGTCCATACTGGCCTTGAACTCTCAGTGATCCTGGTACCTCGGCTTCCTCAGTTCTGGGATTATAGGCATGTGCCAGCACACACAATGACTACCTTATAAATAATGATATGCTATGGATGGTGCAGTACAGCAAATGAGTGTTTAAAATCCTAGTACTGTTCAGGGTTTCAGAGTGTGCTTGTAATTAAATTTCAATTAGAAATTCTAGAATTATAGTTATATGCACTAATATCTTGCTTTTTAATCTGAAGGAAATCTGAATGCAGGACAAGATTTGGCTTAAAATACAGAATCTAAACTATCTAAAAATGCAACATTATATATTACTATTTTGGAATAATTTTTTTATTGTTTAAGCTGTTGGCTATAGCTGTTGGGTGGTTAAGTGATATATTAGAAGGTGCAAGGCATCCAAAAGGGAAAAGTAAGATCCTGGTGAAGAGAGGATACAGCCAGTAAATGAAGAAAAAAATGTAAGCCAAAACAGAGTTCTTCTCTGGTTTTGATAACAGTAGGAAAAATAGAAACATGAATCCAGATTTTAAAAATAACATAACAATGATTAGTTATGGCTTATGGGTGGTTTCTATGACTTATACATCAATCAACTGCTGCTTTGAATTAGACAGATAGAAATTGAGTTTTAGACATTTTATAATATATATTTGGTTTTGGTACATTTAATTTTATATAATGGACTTTGAAGTGATTTAGTAAAAATACATTATATAAATAGATGTTATGTCATCTTATATTTTTTGGATGAAAAACTTCAATCTGAACATACGGTTATAGAAGCTGTTATCTGGACATCCATTTAGTTATAATCTAAAGAATTATTTGATTCATGATTGATGGACACCCTCATTTTAGTACTTTCATGGGGAAAAGTTTGAAAAATGTTTACTTGGTTTGAATTACACGAATGTGGAAAGATTATATATTTTCCATTTTAAAGGCAATTAACTATATATTTGTTCTCTTTTGTATACAGTTCCAAAAATAAAGAACTCTATTTTGGAATTTAAAACTGTTGTTTGGTCTTCATCAAAGTAAGTTTTCTTTCTGTTAGAAAAAAGTAGAAATTGACTGATTTTTTAAAATAAAATACAAAACAAAATTTCACATGACTACATTTATATAACTTTTAATGATAATGGAGTTTCAAAAATACATATCATTGTTATTTATTTGTGGTTTTTGCTACATCTTGGACAGAGTAGAACAATGGTTTCCCTTGGGACAGAATTATTTTGCTCCCTTCTTTTTTGTTTTTGTTTAAGAAAATATCCTTTTGGGGCTAGAGACATAGTTTGGCAGTCTAAGACAAGTAATAGGACCTGAGTTTGCTCCCTAGTACTGTATGCCACACCAGCCCCAGACCCTAGGCATGCTGTGTCAGCCACTGAAACCAGACTTAATGTTGCACTTAATGTGCACTTAATGTTGTCTATATTCCCAGCTCTGGGAAGGCTGAGACAGGATTATCCCTATGAGTCTGAGCTGCATAATGAGACCCTGTACCAAATAAATAAATAAATAGCCTTTTATACATTAAATGGTGCACATACTACCCACATTGCTATGGAAAATAGATGTACTTATTAATCCCAAAGTCACTGGGAAGTGAAGTTAAAGATATTTCTGAGTCAAATACATTTTGACAAAATATATGAAATGTAAACTTTGAGATATTGTAACATAGTTTTTCAATTTAAATATCAAATATCCAATTCAGATATCTAAAATATCAAACATCTTCTATCTTTAGAAAGTGGATTGTACGATTAAGAATGATGTTTGCCTAAGTAGTTACTGATTCATTTTTTATTCATTTAGCAACTGCACATTGACTCTCAGTCAACAGTGCTCAATTAGGGGCTAATGATACAGTATAAATTAAAGATATTTCCTATCTTCATGAAATTGAGAGTTGGAGGAAAGCAGAAAACAGTTAAGGGAAATGACTTCGGTATAAGTAGATTTGAGTTTGAGGACTTTCTATATGATTTAGTATCTTTCTTTTTTTTTAGGGGGAGGAAGACGGGTACAGGGACTTAAACTCAGTGCACTTGCCAGGCAGGTGCCTTGCGGGTGCTTACTCCACTGAGTTATCTCCCTGGATCCAGATTTAGTATCTTTCTGATATGATTAAATCTCCAAATTTCACTCTTTCTTATAATTTGTGAAGTAAGGTATAATACCATCATTTTAGTGTCCAGTGACAGACTCAGAATTGCTAAATAGAGAGTTTTAAAATTGAGTTGGAAAAGGCATCACAGGGCTTATCTAGGAACTGTGTTTAATTGAGAAAGAACATTTGTTTTTACTTAGGTTGTGTGTCTTGAGGGTATATGGAAAGAGATTTTTTTGGGGATGTCTAATCTCTTGTAAATGACCCCTTGAGCATTTCTGCTTTCAACTCCTAGCTTGATGTTCAGAAATAACACATACCTATATAAGTCTAAGTGTGCATAAATATACATACATATTCAGATGTAGATTTCTGTATATATTTTAAGCCATTATAAATTAATATAGCATTATATATACTATTACTACTCATATATACTTACAGCATACTTGTGTGTATATTATATTACTACTACTTTTGGAAATCATGGTCCAGAAGAAAATTTAGTTGAAAACTTGGAGAAACATTATTTTCAGAATTCAGGCTAGGAGTTTTGCATGCACTTATTATTACTATTATTATTATTATTATTATTATTATTATTATTATTGTTTGGTCTTTGCTATTCTTGGATCTTTATCTCATTTTGGTATTTAAAATTTAAGTTTCTAAGAGTAGACAGTAAGACATAGAAATTTACAATCAGAAACATTTGGTAGAGATGAATTGCATTATTCTGTGATTTTATTTATTATTTTATTGGTGTATGTTTATATAAAAATTGCATTCATTTTAGAGACTTGATCCATATGGTGGATTGACAACTCATGGTCAACTTTTTACACCATGCTTAACTGAAGGTGTGGGAGGCCCACCTGAGGATTGTGGCCAGCAGAATGCAGAACTGGAAAGGAAGAAGAGAAGCTGTTGCTTCTCTTGGACGAGCTTGTTCTGTTGACTTCCCTGATGAACCTGGCTGCTCTTTTTGGAGGAGGAGCTCAGGACTTGGTTGTTATTGAAGATAGCTTTGGTTCATTTTGGGCGAGCTCTGGTTCTCACTTTGAGTATGATTTCCTGTCTACATGGTAAGATGGTACAATGTTCAGTCTCTTTGAGAAGATGGTCATGATGGTTTTCCTTATGGGAACTTGGCTTTCTTCATGGGAACTCAGCTTTCCTCATTTTTGGAGGAGCTCTGGACCTCATTGTTGCTGAAGATGACTGTGGTACTTTTTGGGGAAGCTCTGGCTCTTGCTTTGAGCATTGATTCTTGGCTCCAGTGCAGATCCCTCAACCTGGTATCACAGATCATTCATTCTACTGGTGCAGACTTTCAAGATTCCACCAATGACCTTTAGGGCTTCTCAGCACAGATCCATGAAACAGAGCTGCATGAAACTTTTTCATGGGCTCTAGTCCTCTAGTTGGACTCATGTGGGAACAGATTTCTAGGTCTTCATCTGGACTCATGCAGGACATTACCATGTGATTCAAGCCTTCAGCTAGATTTTTTTTGACTTTAGTGTGGACAGATTGCCTGAACTCCTTGAATATGATTTTTTGGTGAAGTGTCCTATACTGTATTATTTACCTTTACAAAATTCTAAACTACAACAGTTCCCAAATACATATAGGCATGAGGTGGGATGAATCTATGGTCAGCCAATAAGATTACAAGCATAATTTCTTAGATACAATTGATTAAATTAGCATCAAATGGGGAAGCGAGTCACAAAGCAAGCAGACATGAATATACAGAACAAGGGCTTTTCTTATAGAGTGTTGGATTCGTACCTAATTATCAGCAAAACAATCAAAAGCCTCAGGAGACAGTATCTAAAGACCAGGCAGGGTGAGACCATACAGCTGAGGCCAAGAGAAAGGTAGAGATTCAAATACCTTTCCTTTACTGTCAGAATGGTATGTAATATTCTCGACTTAGGAAGACAACAGAGGGGAAAGTACATTTTAAGGGGACAGCCCTGAGGTAGAGCCTGAATTTTAAACTAGATGAGTTTATGCCCTGAATTAACTGATGTATTAAACCAAAAGGAAAGGGCTGCTTTGAATAGTCTAATAATTAAGATCTGTTGGAGCCATTCTACCTGGACTTAAGACTTATATCTGTCTCTATTGACTGTTAACTTTATAGAAGTCGATTTCTCTGAGCCTATGTTTTGTTACTTAATACAGAAGTTAAGTACATTAAT